GCCCCCAGCCCCATTTTGAGCCCCCAGCCCCACTCACCGTCAGGCTGGCCCTGCAGCAGCCGCAGCACCAGAGCCCCCAGCCCCATTTTGAGCCCCCAGCCCCACTCACCGTCAGGCTGGCCCTGCAGCAGCCGCAGCACCAGGGCGCTGAACCAGGGGCTGCTCTGGTGGGGCCCGAGGGCGGCGAACCAGAGCTGCCAGTCCAGGCGGGGCTGGTGCGGGGCCACCAGGGCCGGGGCCACGCTCACGTTCCCGGGCTTGTACATGAACTCGATCTCCTGTGGGATCGGCAAGCGCTGCCACCGGCAACTCCCGGGGGCCGGGCTCCCTTCCTGCCCCAAATCCCGGGATCCCGGTTCCCTTCCTGCCCCAAATCCCGGGATCCCGGTTCCCTCCTGCCCCAAATCCCGGGATCCCGGCTCCCTCCTGCCCCAAATCCCGGGATCCCGGCTCCCTCCTGCCCCAAATCCCGGGATCCCGGCTCCACTCCTGCCCCAAATCCCGGGATCCCGGTTCCCTTCCTGCCCCAAATCCCGGGATCCCGGCTCCCTTCCCACCCCAATTCCTGGGATTCTGGGGTCCAAACGAGGGTTTGGGGTCACCTCAGCCCCGGGAAAACAACTTCCCGCCCCAAATCCCGGGATTTTGGGATTGAACCAAGGGCCTGGAGTGACCTCAGCCCCAGGGAAACAACTTCCACCCCCTCAAATCCCGGGATTCTGGGGTCCAAATGAGGGCTTGGAGTTACCTCAGCCCCGGGAAAATGCCCTCCTACCCTAAATCTGCAGATTTTGGGATCCAATCAAAGGTTTGGAGTCGTATCAGCCCCAGGAAAACAACTTCCCACCCCAAATCCCGGGACAGCAGCAACCGCGGCTGGGCCAGCCACGAGCCTCGTCCTGCTCGGGGTTCACTGTCCAGCTGTGCCCACCAACGTCCAGCTGTGCCCACCAACGTCCAGCTGTGCCCATCAATGTCCAGCTGTGCCCATCCCTCACTGCCCATCAATGTCCAGCTGTGCCCATCAAGGTCCAGCTGTGCCCACCAACGTCCAGCTGTGCCCATCCCTCACTGCCCACCAACGTCCAGCTGTGCCCATCCCTCACTGCCCATCAATGTCCAGCTGTGCCCACCAATGTCCAGCTGTGCCCACCAACATCCAGCTGTGCCCATCCCTCACTGCCCACCAATGTCCAGCTGTGCCCATCGCTCCCCATCACCATCCAGCTGTGCCCATCAATGCCCAGCTGTGTCCCCCACCCCTCACTGTCCAGCTGTGCCCATCCCTGCCCATCACTCCCCATCCCTCACCGCCCAGCTGTGCCCATCACTCCCCATCCCCGCCCAGCTGTGCCCATCCCTGCCCATCACTCCCCATCACCATCCAGCTGTGCCCAGCTGTGCCCCTCACTGGTGCCCATCCCTGCCCATCACTCCCCTGTTCCCCCCTCACTGTCCAGCTGTGCCCATCCCTGCCCATCACTCCCCATCACCATCCAGCTGTGCCCAGCTGTGCCCATCACTCCCCATCCCCGCCCAGCTGTGCCCAGCTGTTCCCCCTCTCTCACTGCCCATCACCATCCAGCTGTGCCCAGCTGTGCCCATCACTCCCCATCACTCCCCATCCCCGCCCAGCTGTGCCCAGCTGTTCCCCCCTCACCGTCCAGCTGTGCCCATCCCTGCCCCTCACTCCCCATCCCC